GTGTGTGTGTGTGTGTGTGTGTGTTCGTGCGCGCGCGCGTACAGCTGTGTCCACCCGAGAACACTCCGCACAAATACTCATCAGACTAGGAACTCACTTTTACCGTGTAATAGAGTTTCCTCTCTATAATTTGCATACCTTAGAATCTTTCTAAATGGAGAAATCCGCCGAATACTTACAAAGAACTTTTTCATCTACACACTACAGGCAGCATACCGACACAGAACATTACATAGAACTTTTTCTAAGACACGCACTTGAACGGGGTCGCTGTGTCCGATGGTCTTATAAAACTAGGATCTGCGTTTGCTGCCATTTTTTGTCCAAAGGTTGCCATAAAAGTCAGCTCTCTGTGGCGACGTAAAGAGCAATATGTTGATAGGGGTATCTTAATCTAAAGCACCAGAATTTCTTGTACTCTGTTTTAAGCCTCCAGAATATCATTTGTAGCCGATCCAGCCGTGTGGGCACCCCGTATTATGCGCGACCAATGGTGATGCTTTAAACCTGTCACGCCCACAGTCTGTGGCGCGCGATGAGGTCTCGATCGCTACATGGACTGATCAAAGGCGACGTTGCGTCGCCTGTAATACGGGGTGCCCACTACGGCTGGATCGGACCGATCGCCCGACTCCGTCGCCTGAAACCGAAACTGAAAACAGACACATTTGTTCTTGAGGCCTCGGAGTCGGACGATCCCATCCGTAATGGGCACCCCGTATAAGGAGACGGGTTCTTATTCTTTATAATCTTACTTGATTGATGTTGGAGCGGCAAGGGTCGCGTGCGACGTCGCATCGCGCATAATTAAGGAGACATACTCTTTCACGTATTCTTTTTGATCTTTGTTCTCCTCGCCAGTGTCCCCGAATCACAGCTGTGGTTGTAAAGATCCTAAAGCCAGCTCTGTTCATTGTCGTGGCCTTCGTCCTGTCTGTGGGGATCTACGCCAACATGCACATCTTCAAGATGATCAAGCCCATGGTAGTGATCGCTGCCTGCGCCCTTCCTTACGTGGGATTTCTTTTGGGGGCAGTTTCTGCTCTCATCTTTCGTCAGTCATGGGCGCGAGTCAAGACAATCGCTATTGAAACTGGAATACAGGTGACTGGATAAAAGATAATTAGAAGAAGAAGAAGAAGAAGAAGAAGAAGAAGAAGAAGAAGAAGAAGAAGAAGAAGAAGAAGAAGAAGAAGAAGAAGAAGAAGAA